GCACTGAGGTGTGGGGAGTGTCCCGGGCTTCCAGCACTCCTAGTTCAAGCGAAATAGTAACCAAGAGCCCGCGGCTTCCGTGGAGCAGCAGAGGTAGCTGTCAGACAGGGCCGTGCTGTCATGCCTCTTCCAGGGCTCAGGGAAAGGTGTGTGAGACTCTTCCTTGGATCGCACGCCCAGGTGAGTGCAATGGAAAGCTGGAGCTGTTCTGCCTGCTGTGTCAGCTGCGGTGGCAGGGGAAAGCAAGGTCTTTCGCAGCCAGGCAGAGCTCCAGTCAGATACCTTTGGGCTAATTCGGGTGCCGGAGGGAAGGAGATACGCTCACTCAGAAATCCTCGTCGAAGAAGAACCTCCTGTTTAGGGGGTTTGTGGGTCAGTTGTGATTGAAACAGGCGGGTAAGAGATCGCGCTGCTGCTCAGTTTGTCCATGGGCACAAACCTTCTCTGCCCTGCATTCAGTGGCCGGTATGATTTAGAAGGTTGATCAGTGTTATTTTTTGGCGGGGAAAAACGGTCTGTGCTAAGCGGCCCAAAACAGAAAGTAACTTGTCTTCATAATAACGGGTTACTTCGTGTTTGAAACGTGTGCAAGCCCTGCTCTATCGATGTGTGAGGGGAGGGAGCTTGTGGATCTCCTCCGTTGGGACTGGCACGTATTCAGATAAACACCACCTTGCTGCTGGTTTTGGCAACCAAATCCCATTGTGAGCCTGCCTGAGCAGAGTGCTTATCTGTGATTTCAAATCAGGTAGTGCTGTTACTGCTCCGGACTGAGCAGCTGATTTTTAAAGTAAAGTGTGAAGAAGTCTGAAAGACCAAGGAAAAAGCAACCCCTTTGTTTTCAGTGGGAAAAACACAATTATTCAGATTAAGTACTTTGTTTTAATTAAACTTTTTGGTGGTAGGGACATCTAACTTAATCAAAAAAAAAAAAAGGTAACATGAGGGCTTATGACTAGACTATGTGACTAGTAGAATTATGCTGCTGATGCTGAATGTATCCATGTGAATAAATCCTAAACTCATCTTTATAGAAACCAATAATGCTTCAAAACTTTGCTAAATGCCAGACACCTATGAGTTCAGAAAATTACTTGGATCTGTTGTCATGCCTATGGTGCAAAGCTTCTTGCTGTACAAATATTCCACGTGTATGGAGTTGATAGCTGAGGTAACAGGCAGCTGAGCCTTGTGGTTTCCATACAAGAAATGGTAGAGAAGAGAAGGCTTAGAGGTGACCTCATCACTCTCTTCAACTACCTGAAGGGAAGTTATAGCCAGGTGGGGGTTGGTCTCTTCTCCCAGGCAACCAACAACAGGACAAGGGGACATGGGCTCAAGCTCTGCCAGGGGAAGTTTAGGTTAGATGTTAGGAAGAAATTCTTTACAGAGAGGGTGATCAGGCATTGGAACGGCCTGCCCAGAGAGGTGGTGGATTCACCATCCCTGGAAGTTTTTAAAAAGAGATTGGACATGGCCCTTAGTGCCATGATATAGTAATTAGAGTTGGATCAGGGGTTGGACTTGATGATCTTGGAGGTCTTTTCCAACCCAATCTATTCTATGATTCTATGATCTGTCCTGGCTTCCTCTGGGTTTGGAAGACCTTTGGGAAGCACTGGGTCAAAATACCTGGAGATTGTTGTGGAGGTTGGGCTTTTAGTGTCTCCACAGTGGTAGGAGCTCAGCGTGGCACACTGCACGCTCTGCGGTTCCTGTCTTAATTTATGGATGCACCAGAAAGCACATGCAGGCTGTGGCACAAGTTAAGGTGCTGCACTGCTGGTCCTGCTTGGCTCAGTGTGTATCTCAGGTGTCCCTCTCCTTGCAGCCTTCCTCTGCAGCTGCCTCTTTATCTTTGTGTAAAAATCTGTGTAGCATTTTGTGCTTAACTTTGCTGTGTCATTCCTCCACTGTCCTGTCCCTGGGCTGTCCCCTTAAGCCAGTGACTTAAAGATCACTGTACTGAATGAAATGGAATGGAATGAGTCCTCTCATCCGCCTTTCCACTGACACTTGGATTTTATCTTGGAAAAAAAGCATTTCAGGTAAGATATAAAGCTCGAGAGAAAAGTGAAGCTCGCTACCTTTGTGAGATTTGTCTTGTGCCCTGATGGGAGTGGTGATGGTCTCACAGTTTTGGGATTGTGTAGTGGTCAGTTTTGTTTTCTTTTCCTAAACTTCTCCAATGGCTGCAGGCTTCCTCTAGAGATGCTCATTCTGCATCTGCCATGCTTCTTATTTACTGGTGACTTTACCTTCCTTTTTCTTCCCTTCTGAAGTATTTTAGGCTTCAGTCAGTCTTCCTCCAAGCCTTACATTTCTTTATGGTTAAGTCTCGGGTCAGGAGTATAGTCCAGTCCCACTTTTCAGGTCTTACCTGGGGGAATTCTGTGCTTGCAGTTCAGTTTAACATTATGGTAAAGATACCTGTGTGACATGGACCAAATCAGGAGATGGCTTTGAGTAGATGGCACGGCCATATGTTGTCAGAAGAGCTGGGAAATTGGCATACTTTGGTTAGTTCAGACCCAAGGGAGCAGTAGAAAACATTTCGCTTCTATTTGCTTCCTCTAAAGAGCTACAGGGAAGTGACACAGAAAACAGTAAAATACCGGGAGGTGATAGAAAATCCAACAGCTTTGTGAACTTAGGGAGTGCCAGTGCAAATATCCTGACATCTGTGGTGTCAGGTCATTGTGCTGGGGAAGTCACTGCGTGGTCTCAGTCTGCAGATCTTGGGCTTGGCTGGAAAGAAAAGCTATGGGACGTTTGCAGCCAAAATGTGCCCATGGGAAGGGTACAGGAAGAAGTGATTTATCTCTGGGGTGAACTGGTGATGTGGAAGTGTTTGGTACAAGGCTGATAAGAGCTGATCACACAGCTGAAAAAAAATGCAATGCGAGTTTTTGTGCTGCTGTGCCAGCTATAGGAGAGAAGTCTTTGGCCTGGGTATTGGGGCATTGAGGGAGAGACGAGGGAGAGATGTCATTAAGAACTATTCCTGTCACCCCTACTCTTTCTGCTACCTTTATTTTCAACGTTTTAATGGCATCTAGCTGATTTAAGATCTGCTTAGTGTGTTTAAGGCAAATAATTTACTAGGAGCTGTGTAGCAGAACAGGTTCATCTCCTTTGTTTTCTGTGTGTTTAAAGATCACTTCTCTCCATCTGTAGAAATGAGCTTTTTCTTTCAGATGAGTCGTTTTAAGGACAAACTGTATAGGAAAGAATGCAGCCACAAGCAGTGAGTGGTGCTGGAGCTTGCCAGCGTCACTACTCCCCAGTTAATAAGAGGTGACTTGGTTCTCCACTGCTCCAAACATGTTGTTTCCTGACAGAAGGGAGAAAGCTTAAGTGTGCATCCAGTTAATCAGGTGCCAATGTACATAAACTCCTCTGCATCTTGTAAAATTGGCTTGCAATTACACTGGCACAGGCAGCTGCTTCATTTAGAGGTCTTAGTAAACCATATGAAACCAGATTTCAAGATGTGGCCAGTGGTTACTGAACTCATTTCAGAGGCAAAATCCCAACACTGGTGTACAACAGTGTATTTCTCACACACAAACTGATGTCTGTATAGAAGTCCTTGGGCTTGTTTGGTACAAGCCAAATTTTGTCTTGATGGATGTCACCCAAGGACAAAGGGAATGCTGTTCCTTTCAGTGAGCTGCTGATGGAGCACTGCTAGAAACCCCAGCTGCTCAGGTGAAGCTCATTTTGGTAGCGCACTCCGGTTTTAGAGGTTGTGAAACAACTTCCTGTATGTTTTGTAGGGTGAAGATCCTGGTTTTTACATGCAAAACATCCCATTTGTCCACGTATATATTTTGGAAGCCATTTCTCTATGATTATGGAAACTTGGTGACTTCTAATAAAGCAGCTCAGTAGTGCAGGACACAGAAGCGAGGCGTTTACTCTTTGCCCAGCCATGCTGTATTCCAGCCTGAATGTTTCCTCCGTTGGTTCTTGGAAGGCTGCTGGTTGTTGGGACTGTAGGCAGTCCACTGCTTTACGTATGTCTTTGACCAGGCCCTGTCCAATGCAGCCTGCAATCAGACTCGACTCCATCTCCTGGCAGAAGGGAGATGGACACTGAGTGCTATGAGGCAGATTCCTCTGTCGTCATTCCCACATAAGAGAAATAAAAGTGGAATAATTTCCAGTGCAGTCTTTGGAGATTTTACTGCTTTTCATGGCATCTCTGTGGGGGTCTCCCCCCCTCCATGTGTTTGATGCCACTTCTGAGGCTGAGATGGAGGCTTTTTTCTGTGTGGCATCAGTTGTCAGTCTTGAGTCTGTCGAGTTACTCTCCTCAGCCTGCCTTCTAGTACCTGAGGGGAAAGGAAAGAGCCTGGACTCAGTAATTAAGCTTACTGAGGAATGCATTGTTGTAGTCTCGTGGGTCTGGCCTGTTGCCTGCACAACATGATGGAATCACAACGTGGAAATCTGTAAACTGTATTGCTACATCTCTGTAATTATAGCCTTGCTTGTTCTTTACTGTCCCAGCTGCTTGCTCAGTATCTGCAGGACACTGCTAAGGATCTACACTGCTTGTCTTGCCTAGTTTTAGGAACCTGGTGAAGGGTGGTTTGCTGAGTGCAGTGTGTTCCAGTGCCCCTGGGCAATGCTCTCTATCCATAATGGACAAACGGATCCTCACCAGTACAGGGGCTGCTGTCTCAGACTGCTAACGAGGGAGGCGTAGTCATGGGGTTGGAGTAGACCCAAAACTGCTTGAGAAAGTCCTGGTATATGTAGTACTTGGAATTTAAGTTGCAAGTATATACTTGGTGGGAATGGCTTATGGCTTTTCTGCTAGGAGTGGGAAATGTGTGGGTATTAAGGCAAAGTATGAAGTAGTCAACATATGGTGTAGTGAGCCCTTAGCTGAAGTGCCCCAGCCTGTTTCACTAAAGCTTTGGTCCTGATTGCTAGTTAGTCTTCCCTAGTGGCACTAGTGGATATATTTATTTTTCTAACCTTTTGTTTAGATTCATCTCTTCTGAGTAAATGAAGAAAGTGACTATGAAAGCACACCATCTTCCTTCTGTTTTCATCAATGAGGAGAAGTTCATAACCAGGTAAATTATTAAAAAAACCCAAACATTTAATGACCTTGCTGCTTTATTTCAAGTTAGTCCATATTTATTCCTTAGCAGGGGATCCTGTCCTGTAGAGAGCTGAGCCTGTAGCAGCAGACATTTCTACAACTTGGTTTATTTAAACTGTCTACAAAACAGAGTTGGCCTTTATATGAAATGCAAAGAACAGAGCATTAAACCTTTGGGTCTGTGGGTTTTGTTCATTAAGGAGAACAACCCTTCTAGAGGATTCTGGAATGAAATTCCAAGTTAGGGAAGAAGACCTTCCTGTCTTGGAAGTCTACTGGAATTGAACATGAGTTCCAGAGTTGAAGTTGAGCTCTGCTTCTCTGTGGCTTGGGGCTTGGCCTGCAGCCCCGGATCACAGGGTTTCTGTGCAGAAAAACCTTTCAGGCTGCCAGCTCTGTGCCGTGATCAGTGGAAGTGACTTTTTCACCTACTTCCAAAACCTGAAAATTGCACTCAACCTGTGGTTTGTGGCATGCTTTTCTACAGTTCAGTCTGGCTGGTAGGATTGTTCCTAATGCTGCCCCAAACACTGAGCCTCCTGGTGTTTAGCTCCATCCCCTTTTTTCGGGATTAATTTTGCTTTGTTGTCAAAAGCACAGGAACTGGAAGAAAGGCCTCTCTTCTCACTTCATTTTCATCCTTCTTGGTGTTTCCATGGGAAGAAGCTACCTGTGAACTACCTATAAGCTACCCCAGGGGAATTTCTTGTACTGCAGTAGATAGTTGTTCCTGAATGCTGCTCTTTGTCAATGTGGCCTGAGCAGTGCTGTTGATTTCCCCCTATTCAAGGGAGGGTGTCAAGGCCTTGCCTGGAGCACACAGGCAATAAAGACATCTCTCACTTTCTCCTCAAGTGTTATTCCCTTTCTAATGCTGCTAAGTTGGGATATGGTGCTTTTGTGTCAGAGGTAATTAACCTGCTCCTGTGCAGTCGGCGTACAAAAGCATTTGGAAATGTACCACATGAATCAGTGTCTCTAGGGCTTTATTCTGCCCTAGACTTGCCTGTTTAAGGGGGGAGATGTGGATCATGGTCCAGACCTTTTTGGAGGATAGTTCATGGTTTAAAGGTTTTTTTGCCTTGCACAGAAAGAAATAAGTGTTTCAAGAATTACTGACATTCTCTATGCACTCAGGCTTGCTTCCAGTGCCATTCCCAGACTATCATCCCTCATCTAAACCTTGAGACTGCTGTTACAGTACTCCTCTTCTAGTTGTATCCTGCAAATCTTGCTGATGGGGCAAGTCTGCTGTTTGGGAATTGCACAACGGCTGGATGAAAAGGCTGACCAAAGCATGTGGGGTTATTTGGCTGCCTGAACTGCTGTGTCTCTAGCAGAACTGCCATAAATATTCGTGAATAAGTGAGTAGGGCTTGGGGAAGAAGAGGGCACAGGTGAGTTGTCCTGGGTTAGTGTTTCAGAAAAGCAATCTGGGCTCTGTTGTGGTTCACCACCAGGGCACCTGACCTTGCAACTCCCTTTTATCTTGCTTTTGCTACTGAAGAAAGCGGTGAATCTGCAGTAAATGTTACGTGAGTTGTTCTGCCAGTTACTTGGCTTTGGTTTCGATTAATGGCTGAGTTTGGCTGTTGTCAGGAAGCTGCTGTGAAGAACAGACTTATAACACAACAGCTGCTGATTTTCTGGTAACCAGACACTGCAGAGATGGCATCTGTCTCTAGGTTAGGGCAGCAGGGACACGTGTTACAGTAAGACTCGTCCTGGAACCTGGCTGGTCCACATCTTATGCCTTTCTGGGGCTGAAAGAAGGAAAATGTTTTCTTCTCCGATGTTTGCACTACACGAGGACAAACAAGTCTGTGTGAGCTGCTGTTAAATCTCTTCCTTGGGATTTTTCTAATGACTTGAGAGGTTTGGCACTGTTGGTTGCACTAATGCAAGACTGAAACCTGAAAGATATATGAACTTCTGTGAAAGGTCATGGCAAATTTTTTTAGACAAGGCAAAAAACTATGTGCAGATCTGGAGAGCTTGCTGTGACAAAGAGAATCTTACCACACCAGTTACTGCTGTTAGCCTGTGATTTGATTTGCCTTTGGAGACAACATGGACTAAGAGTAATGGGCAGGCCTCAGCGTGACCCAAGTCCTTATGTGTTCACAGTCTGTTTTGAGGGAACTTGCCTCCCCAGCTTCCTGTCTGGAAAAAGCTTATGAAATAACAGCTGTCAAAATAACATTATCATACTAAAATTATTTTTAATATTATCATACTGTCATACTCTGGGAAGTATAAAAAGACTTGAGTTTGAAGCCCATCTGAGCAGGATCAGCTGTCACATCTGTCCGGCAAGACCGACTGTCTCATACTTGCACAGTAATCTTGAATTGCATCTGGAGTTTGCCTGTCTACGAGGCCAAGACATGCTTAATCTTGCTTACCTGTAACCAACATGATTAGAACTGGGCTTATATCTGATTCATATCCAAGTCTGTTAAAACTTACCCTTTTGGTGGGATGACCTGAATACAATCCCTCATCGCTCACAAGACACAAAGAACCTGTAATGAGCCATCCCCACATGATGGAGAGAACGGGTTTTGCCACTTGTATTCCTAGGATTTGAGACCAAAGTGAGTTGAAGTAAATGTTGAAGACACTGTTTTGGAGCCCAGTGCTTTGTTGACAAAGCTACTTAAAAATGTTTTTTTTTTGTGTGGAATTGCAGTAATGTAAAGTAATTGATTTACATCCAGAGTGGGAGCAGGGAGCGCAGTGAACCTTGTGGAGTTTAGTGGCGTAGCCCTTGTCCTCATGTTCCCTGCCAGGTAAAAGCCCAGTTGATCTTTACCCTTCCCACCATGGGAGAAGGCAACAGCGCACTGCTGTGTTTGTTAAGTGGAGAAGGGAGGGAGGGATAGGTATGCCAGGGAAAGCTCTTCACGTGCACACTCCAAGTGCCCCTCTGTCCCAGGCACAATGGAGGCACATGTTAACTGCCCTGCTGACTGTCCCCACTCTCCTCTGCGGTGTGTGCCAGCTGAGCCCAGGGGAAGGCCACATTCCTGGGGCCAGACTGCGTGCTGGGCTCTGTCCCTCTGGGGCATCCTTTTGCTTAAAATTGGGGGAGGAGGTGTAATAGTGCTTCTCATGGTACATGGGTCCTGAACAGCTTCAGCAGGTCTTTGCGGTGCAGAGAGTTGTGCAGTGCTGTCTGCTTGAACCGTGGTCCTGCTGTTCTCACAGCTCCCACCGGGCAGAAACATGGACATACCAGGCACTATTTGGAAACAGTCTTGGTGTTTTCGCTCACCACTGAGGCAGGACGTTAAACCATTGCGATTTAGTCATCTCAGGTGCTTCAAGAGAGTCCGTGAGGAAGAACCTGTACTCTTCCATGCAGTTCTTCCCATGGCTAATTACCTCTGCTGGTGGAAAGTGCTTGCTTGAGTTACAGTCTAAGTAATCTTTCAGTGGCGGGGGGAAGAGCATTTCATTCTTGAAGGCCCTGAAATACATTTCACTGAATTGTGTTGTTTCTCAGCCCTCCTTAGCTGAGCTGAAGCTGGCTTTTTGTCTCCATGGCTCCTTGCTCATTGGCAGAGGGTCTCTTCGTCTCCGTCCATTTTTCTTTTGAGCAGACTTGGTGCAAAGAAATTCTAGGCATACTGTAGACATTGGGCAATAAGAAGAACGTCTGCAAAAATGGAAAAAAAATTGTAAATCGTCATGCAGGGAAAACAAACTGTAAGCCTAGTTAAATTAACCTGCAATATTGGTGAATGGGGGTGTTGTTCCTGTTTGCTTCCTTCTCTTGACTATTAACAGAGGTCCAAAGTACAAGCTATTCTGGGGCAGTGTTATTAAGATCACGTCAGACTGTGACTAATTAATTTCCTCTGTGTATCAGGTCTTTAAAGAAGCAACTTTTGAGCAATCCAGTAACCTGACAAAATTTTAGTCCCAGAAAATGGTGTATTGATCATTAACAAACCTATGCAAGGATGCAGTGGGTAGCACAGGTATGGGGTGTCACCCTGCCACATAACACCTGCATTTTACATAACAGGTATGTTATAAAATATTCTTTCTTTGTGGTCTTTGTTCTAGAGAGCAGCTCAGTTTTCTTCTGAAGAATTATAACTCTTACTATTCGGATCAAGAGAATCTACAACTGACATGTAGTCAGGTAAGGAATTAGGCAAGAGAAACTCCCACTAATCTGGAGGTACCTGTCTCTGCTCTCTTCTCACAACACTGGACTCCAGCACTTGCTGTGGTGTTTTTATTACATGACATGTTCCATCTAATATAATAAACCAGAACAGGTTTCTTAGACAGATCAGGTCAGCTGCAGTTTTGGATGTCTTGGAAATACTTCAAAACTGAGGTTACACGGCCTCTCTAAGTAACCAGTTCAGAACTGTTTCAGCCCCAGTGATTTCATTGTTTTCTTGTTACTTTGAGGGGAAATTGATTATTACTTGATTATTTTTACTCAATTGTTGTGTAGTACTCCGGCTTCTTTTTTTGCTTCTTGTCTCCAGCGAGAAGGAAAAGCACCATTTATTGAAGGAATCCTGTCAATATTTTGGGGAGTGCGACACCCTATCCGATTGAAAATTCAGGATGAGAAGCTGATACCCTCTTTTGTAACCCTGAAGTCAACAGAGAGCGTGGGTTTGTTCCCTAGTAAAAGGTAATGTATGAACTTCCCTAAGGAGGAGGCAGGCTAGCGTTGCAAGACAGCTCTTGTGGGTGGCTTCAATGGTTATGGCTGGCTGTGTATCCCAGATTCCCCAAAGGCTCTGGGGGCAGCTTGCACTGCAGAGCTCTGTGACTGATATGGCCTTTCAACAGCTTCTGCTGAGCAGAAAGGTGTGTTTTTGTAGCCTCTTTGTCTGGCTCTCAGGTTGAGGAGCTGGAGGAGGCTGCTCTTTTTCAGGGGAAGTGACTATTCCCAGGAAAGGACTGGGAAATTGATATATATGAAATATATGTGTAAAGAAACAGCAAACAAACTCCACGTGTATCTGTGGACACCTGATCTCATGTTGGTGCACACACTATGGCATGAAGCCAAAAGCTGATAGGTAAGTACCCTTCTGGCTGCTTCACGTGTGGAATCATTGCTGTTCAGGTGAAGTTCACACCAGGGAATGAATACTGGCTTTGTGCAAAATCTAATGTAAAAAACCTTGTTAAAATACCCTCAGACCAACTACTCTGGGCTACTGCCAGTGATGTTTTCTATCCCAGTATGTTGTGCTCAACTGATGCAGGTTCTCAGTGTACTTTTCCTTTGTTTTGAACACTTCTTTCCTCAGCCTTAGCTGGTGCATTTGAGCTGAAGCCGTCATGTGTATGTAACAGGGAGGCAGAGCCAGTGTTCACCGTGAATGACTCCCTGATAAATTGTGTATTGCAGAGCTTCTTTTCCTAATTAGCCATTGTCTTAGATGGCATGTGGTACACATTGGAACCCTGAATTTAATTCTACCATCCTTGCAGTTGGGAAGTTCTAGTCAAGTCATGGACAGGCTTCCTGTCTCTGGCTGTTGAAGCTGAGGGATGAGACCTGACAGGTTCTGTGTTTACCTCGACCAGATCTGCTGGTGTGTGGCCTGCAGGACAGGGGCCAGGCTGGCAGTTGAGGTCATGCTTTGCCTTTTAGTGCTTAAGAAACTTCTGGCTGGTGGAGATCTGAATCTTAAAGTAAACATTAACTCATGATCCCAGAAACGTGGGGCTGCCCTGACATGCTTTAAGGTATGCAGAGCAACTTGGCTGTCTGATCTTAAATGAACTTGCTAAATGTGTGGAACACAACTGAGATCGTTGTTTGGTGTGTTCATGGGAGTTACCTGAATATTCTTTGGAATATATATATATATAGGAAATGAATTTTTATTGTCTTACAAATTGGTTTATTCTCACTCGGAGCAGTAACTGCCTGAAGACTTTCTGCTGAAGAGTTTAGGCAATGATTTATGGAAATATTGACATAAAAAAAGGTAGATCTTCTAACAGGCTGGATGGAATTCCTTGCTCTCATACAGAACTGGGTAGCATGAGGGGCTTTTATGTAATTTAGTCTTCCATGTCCCCATCTGTGTAGCAGACATGTGTCCTGTGATTGTCAAAACCACAATACCTGTTTTCTGTGTGCCCGCCTGGTACTTACTTTGTTGTGATTAATCCAGAACTTTGCTGTAAAATAGATAAATAATTTCTGAAAATTATTTAAGGGACACATTTCTCTGTTTAAGAGGCTCTAAATAGGCCTTTGATATATATGGGACCCCTCATCATGCCATGTTTGAATAACTGATTTTATTTTTACTTAAAGTACCATGCTGAAGTCTGTGGTTGTGTTCTGTAAAGTTCTGAGCAGGGGCAGGAACGCATTACTTGAAGCCTGACCACAGGATATACTGAAATGACTGTGTTAATGAGGAGTAATACATGTTTGGTCTTTCAGGGGAATGACTCGCTGGGGAGAATTTGACGACCTGCATCACATTAGTGGGGAGACACTGAAGTCTGCTGAGGAACATCCAGACCTCGAGCAAAGTAAGTGTCTGTGCTCTTATGGTCACAAAGATTTCTGTGTTCTGTGGCTGTGCAAAATGAATTTCACCCTTCAGGCCTTCCCTAGCAGTGAGGGGGAATCTTTATGCTCTGTATGACATGTGTTGCAAGCTGGGGAAACGCTGACCTAGGGATGGCTAGGGCCAACATTGTCCAGGTGAGTCAGTGAACAGCCAGTGCTAACAGGCTGTGTTTTCACCGTTCCCAAGGGAACAAAATAGCAAACTGTGGCCACTACAGCCAGCCTGTTCCTCTTCATCATATGCCTATGCCTTGCTCCTCTCTTGCTCCCCACCCCAAAAAAAGTTAATAAAAAAAGAAATACCTCCACCAAGAGCTTCCTTCCTCTGGGTTTGCTGGCAGGGAGGGGGGAGCAGCTGCACACGGGGCTGACGAGCTTTTGTTCTTCCAGGTTATCCATGTTATGAAAGCCACACGCTGAAGGCCAGGAGTGAGCAGGAACACGACTGTGCCACCCTGCCCCGGACCAGCAGCGATGCCGCGGCCGTGCGGAAGAGGACCAAGCTCCCCACAACAACCAGGACAGGAGAAACTCACAGGTTCTCAATCAATGGCCACTTCTACAACCACGAGGTAGGAATGTTTAGGCTTGGCTTTGTCGCCTGAGGATTGGCCCTGGGACAGGGAACCCTGTCAGTGAGCTTTGCCTCATGCTCATGCCCTTGTGCGGTTTTGTTCCCAGACGTCAGTTTTCACTCCGGCTTTTGGATCAGAAACCAAAATAAGAATCAACAGCCACATGAGAACCAGACATGTGATAGAACAGCTGCTTCGCAAGTTTAAGGTAACCTGGCAGGAGCAAGTGTGGCTGTGTTCTGGAAATGTTCATTCCAGTGTGCACTCCAGTGCTGCAGGAAAGGCAGGGAATAACCGGGAGGGGATACTGTGTGAAATGGAATGTAAAAGAACCCACATGGGCCATTTGAAATGCACGGATTGAGTTTGTTTTATCAGTGCTTCATGGCACTTTGAGGCTATAAAAGTTACACCGGGTGTGAGGTGTGCGCTGAAGGGGAAACTGCAGAACCCCTACCCTGAAGTCCCGCACTGAAGGGCGAACGCTGCTGCGCTTTCATCGTTCCCAGTGCAGGGAGAGACTGGTCTTTGCCCGTGCAGAGCTGCCCTCCAACGGACAACCCCAGGAATTGCGGTTTGCTTAACAGGGAATTCCATCCCCCGCCTGGGAGATAGGTCCTGTTAGACCCAGGCACGTGGAAAGGTCCAGAAAGGCAGAGTTGAAGGTACTGCTCAAGGTCAGTGCTGTCCTGTCTGAAACTACTATTTTTTTGGAACCATCTCCCACCATTATGATTATACCCAGTCAGAAATACCTTTCCCATTAGTGCTGTATGTTTCTCCAATATTTATTCTACATGACTGCGTAGGGCACTATTTTTATTTTATTTGTGTTAAACTTCCTATTTAAGCTGTCTAGAGACTTGGCTATTGCAGAATTACTTGACCTAGTTAGTGAGACTTGGGAGTGTAATACGGAAAGGGAAACTTGACTTCTAGGAATAGTAAGGAATGGACTTAGAGGCTGGGGTGTGAAGTTTTGGAAAAGTTGCAAAGTAAGTGTTCAAAAGCTCTGCTGTTTGCTCACTGTGCCTGTCAGGCAAATTGGGTTGGCAGGGATCACAGAGCCTCTTACCCTCATGAAAATACAAGTAGCAAATCTACATGTAACATGAAAAGAAAGTTGTAGGTAGTAGTTCAGCATGCTCCAAGGGAACCAGGCAGGAATGATCTGGGCTTGTCTAAGTGTGTTACTGATTGGGGCAGTATGGAAGGGTAAGGATTATGGTTGGCAGGGGGACAGTGAACATGGCAGCATAGCTTTCTGTCCTGTCTAAATCCAGCACCTGTAAACTCTTCCACAGACAGGATCTCTGTCTCATTTTGATTCAGATCTCTGAGCTGAGACACGCAGGGCGTTATCTGCTGAGAGGGAAATGCTGGGAAGGCCTGTGAATCTGAATGGATTTTCTTTTGTTTCACAGATAGAAAACAGCCCCCATGAATTTGCACTTTACATTATCCATGCATCTGGAGGTAAGCCAGGCACTGCTGCCTGATCACTTCATTTCTAATCATCCTCTGTGTGTGTGTGTGTGTGTGTGTGTGTGGAATGTGTACCTTGGAGTGACAGGGCTCATCCCAGACCTCTGTCCTCATTTGGCCAGTGTGGTGTGGCATTTTGGCTTCTCCAGAGACCCCTCAGATGTGTCTCCTCTGGAGAGGAAAAGCTGAATGATTGCGTTGTGGGCCCTTTCAGCTGACACTTTTGGATCACAGATGCTGAGTTCAAAGTACTCATTTTTCAGTGGGAAGTGTTTACTTCCACAACAGTTTAAGTTCTTTAGGAAAAATGAGATTTGATCTTTATTAAAGGGAATGCCTGAAAGAGTGGAAGATAACTGAGGGGCAATGTACCTTAAATGGCAGATTATTACGGACCTATTAGGTATCTGGTCATTGCACAGCAGCCAGATATGGCTGATCTGTGTCAAGGGAAGAGGTTTGTGAATGCAGGAGGTACATAGAGGCCCTGTGGTGTGTTCTGTGTGTCATGACATTCCTTATAAATCCCAGAAAAGAAGCAGTTGAGGAGTGGAGACGTCCCCTTGCTGCACAGGCTGCTGCAGGGGCCCTCGGAGAAGATTGCCAAGTTCTTTCTCATGGATGGAGACGTGGAAGAGATCAGCAGTGATGTGCGTATATCATGAGCTCTGATAGTTCTGGAGTTGTTCTTCATTACCATGAGTAGTGCATTTCTTGTCTTCTCCCTGTTAGGTTGCTCAGTACATTCCATTTCATCTTTCCTTTTTGGAATCAATTCTGCACAGAATAAATGAAGAGGAGAGGCAGGAGATTCAACAGACAATCGCAAGGTAAATGGAAGTAAAATGAGGAGGGTCACTGAGTCCAGGGGAATCCGGACAAGGATGGGCTGGCTCGTGAGGAGAACACATGGATGTAGCAGTGTGCAGGTACAACACTGCTGGAGAGATGGGCAGGATTTATAATCCTTTCCCTATCGTGTATACCCAGCTGTTCTGTTGAAGATTACAGAATAAATACTAACTACACATACAGTGAGGTCTTTTCAGAAAGTTTGGACCCTCAGAGTCACTTCAGTTTATGTTGTTTGTCTCTTGAGCTTTTACAAGCCTCAGCTTGTACTTGCTGCTGTGTATTCCACTGGAAAGAATAAATGCAGTATACACTGTGGTACTATTTAGGTTCTGTAGCATTTAAGCCACGTTGGTGCAAAATGTCCCTTTAAAACGTGTGGTAGATGACAGGAACTCCTATGACAGTAGCTCAAAATGCCCAATAGGGACAAGCCACAGAGGCTTCTGTATTTGTGAGCAACTGGGTCCTGAGGCCAACAGTACCGAGAGGCTGCATAGATCTGTTATTGGATGATGGGCTGATAATCATGTTGAATCAAAGTGTACAGGGAATATATAAAAAAATAGTAAGTAAATATATAAAAAATAGTAAGTAACACCTGCCATTTTCTAGTGGGAAGCTTTTCCTTGCCATTTGACTTGCTCCTTAGAACTTGGGTTGAATCTTTGCAGGATCCTGTTACTTAAATGCATTCTCCCTCTCCATCTCAGGTACCTAAGAGAGAAGACCCTGATACAGCAACAGCTTCGCAGTCGAACTGTTAGAAAAACGGAGACCACGGTTTGATGGGAACGGCCCCTGGGGAACAGCCCGGGTGTGTGGAGGGGCAGTCGCTGTGCTGCCTGTTTCTGGGGGCTGGGGCTGAGGAGCACTTCAAGCTCAGGGTGTGCACAGTGAGGGGCTTTCTCCCAATCATTAAACAGCTGAAACCGCCCCCACTCCTGCAGCACTGGGATGCGGGCTGGAACCACCTAAGGAGATGCACTACATCCCCCAAAAAACAGATGCTGAATCTGGCTTGGAACCTGGGGAAAAATATGCCCTGAAAAGCCCAAGGCTTTAAACCCTACTGATGTACAACCTGTTAACAAGAGGCTGGCATAGAAAAATATTGCAATAACCACTGCGTTACTAGAAAATATGCAAATTAAGTATATGGTTATCCCTCTATTAGAGAAATATGGAGTTTATACTAGCAGAAAGCTTTTCGGTAGAGCCAAGTGGCAGAAGACATTTATGTATTTAAGACTGCAGGTAGGATTTTCACTTAACTTATAAAATATCCATGCAAGATGCCTGAAATTCCACCGGCTTCAGGTTGGCGGATGCTGAAGCTGCTTAAGCTTTGAGCTACGGTTAGAAAAACGTAACTGGCAGCATCCCACGTACAAGCTGCTCAGCTCTTGACCATGAGAGGGAGTTTATCCCTGAAATGCCTTGTGAAATGCAAAGGAAGAACTGTCACTGAACACTGCTGGGTCCTGGAAGGCATCTCAGTAGTTTTTGCTGTTGAAGTAAGGGATTCTGTGGTCCTACCAGTGTTTTCTGTGTGAAAGGGAACGGAGAAGTGCTCAGTGAGAGGCTGAGTGTCACAGCCATGGAGGGCTGGGCTCGTGGCCTCCCCATGGATGCAGTTTGAGTCCAGCCTGGCCCCAGGTAGGACACAGCAGCCAGTGCCAGGCCCTATCTGGTTGAGTTGTGCTGGATATTGGAGCTCAAATTACAGAGATGCAAATAAATTGTGCACAGTTGATGTTCCTCCTGCATTAGCCCCTTGTTTTTACCTGGTACCTGTGACTTACCTCAGCTGCCTTTGCCTTGTGCAGGTAACAAACACTAAGGGAGGAAATGAATGAGCAGAACGTGTTGTCTACAAATCATGTGGAATAAATCAAATTATAAAACTTTACACTGCCTAAGATCACGTTACTGGGATGTGACTTCAAAACATGAAGGTCAATGTGGTGACTGAAACTGCTCAGGCTGGGGCAAGGGGGTACAGTTTGTAATCCTGCCTAGGAAAATAATTAGGGGCAAGGGAATACAGAGAGGAGAAATAAAAATAATTCAGCAGTTAAGATGTAGGGATTAAGTAATAGGTGCCTTAGAGCTGCAAATAAAACTTCCTCGAATCAGCAGAGCGTGCACCCAAGCGGAAATGTTGGAGTATTAAATGTTCGTAATTGTTTGCACAGCCCATATGGAAAAGAGGAAGTGCTTCCAAGCAGGTTCTCCAATCCTCTGTGTATGCCCACACTTCCTAAAATGAGCTGGTTTTGCCACCGTCTGATGTTCAAGACCTGAATCCTGTTTATTTCCCTTATCCTGCTGACTCGAGACTGAAAACCACTGGAAAATAACTCTGGAACACGGCACAGAGCAGGTGCAGCCGGCCGGGATTTGAGGGTGAGTGAAATCAGGCTGTGACTGTTGTGGGGTCGGTTCTTTGTGAGTGCAGTGCTGTGTAAATGAACCATTTCTGACAAATACAAGAGCGGGGAAAGAATTTATTCCAGATTATTACGGGGCATTCATGGTAACACAGCAATGACACGTGGGTGACGGAGGAAGGGGGGGTCACTCTTGCATTCGGGCCCAAAGCCATTAATCACAGAGACAGTCATTAGAGACTGTGTCTTACCTGAGATCTTACATTTCCCTGCTGACCAGGTGTTTCAACAGTCCCTGTCCTGTCCTTTTTGGGACATTTTACTTACTTTTTTCTCTCTCACCTTATTTGGGATGCCGGAGATAATACTGTTTTCTGTTTAAAGGCAACTTTACAACGCTCCCGAGCAGCCCATATTGGTGAGTGCATATGCTGCAGTTCAAGGCCAGTGTTATAGAAATGTAAAAATAATTATTCAGTGATTGATTTACAATGGTTACAGGCAGATTTTCTTAATTGGATCTCATTTGCACTTATGCTTTATAAGCTTAAGATTTAAAATGCCTTTGTTTTGGTCTGTGACTATTGGGGGTAATAAAATAGCATTGCATACCAGGAGATGGTGGCTACAGTCAAACCCTGATTTTTCATCACTTAACTGATTGTTTTGGTGGAATGCATTAAGGGCATGCAGCCTCCCTTTAGACTAAACCTGGCTTTCAGACACTTGGTTTGGTTTAAATGCTCCCTGTGCAGTTTGTGTCACTTCCTGTCGTCCAGCGAGGACCTTCCCTTGGGCTGTGCAGCTCCTTATGCTGACAGCATTTTCTCACTCCTTTTGATAAGTTCTGGACCCTGGAAAAGAGGAAAATCTGTGTGAGCAGTAATGTCAGGAGGGTGTGTTCGTGATGTGTTTGTGATGCTCTGTCTCATGCAGCAGCAGGTCCTGTCCTATAACCACGGCGAGGTGAGCACTACACTGTGTGGAGAGCACAGATACATTTATCACTGTGCAGTACACATTTTGCTGTTGCTGTTCAGCTCGGGTAGCCTTAGATTTGCTATTTGTTGGAAAGATACCGAAATACAGTTCTGGTTGGAATAGTCAGTAGAATCCTTTTTGGCTGTGCTGTTCAGTTGTATCCAGAGGTGGACATTTTTTATTAATCAAAGAAAATGTTCTGTATTTTATCTTTTAAAGCAAAGACTTCTGAAGAGAGAGAACAAGGCTTAAGCGTCAAGGATGGTTTGTTAAAGTTCTGTTAAGGAATATAGCAAAGAGAGGGAGCTGAGAAGTAGGAAAAAGCAGATTTCCCAGAGGGTAAAGAGGAGCCAAAGCAGCTCAGGGATATGAAGTTGAGTGGAATGAAACAGCACTGGGAAGGCAGGAGGGAAACAGCGGCAGGAAGATAAACAGGGAACACGCTTTGACCAAAGACCCGAATATACCCTTTCTCTCCCTATTGGAACTGTGGCTGGAAACAGAAGCGATACCTCTTTGAGGAAACAGGCCTCAGGGCTGGCCTCTCTGCAGCACCGTTCCCTCATGGCAGCGAAGGCGGCCGTGACGGAGCCCAGCTGCTCTGCGCTGATCTGGGGCTTGCACTTGAGGAGGGTGATGAGCATCCTGCAGGAGAGCAGAGCTCTGGGAAGTGGGAGGGGGAGCACACGCTCATCGAGCTTCCCTCCACCCCAGGCCTGCTAAACCCCGTTCCGGTCCCACCCGCTGCCTTCCCACAGCTTTTCATCCTTGTTCACCACCCAGACATGGATTTCTGGCCGGGAGCAAAGCAGTGCCCTGTTCCCCTGTGAAATGAAACATCAGTGCCTGGTTTGGGAGTGTTCCAAAGGAGAAGGTGGGATAGTGTGCAAGGGGAAGGTGAGCAGTTCCAGGGGGAACAGCAAACCAGCATTTCTTACTCCTGCTTCCTGTGCTGTAACTTCTCCTCTTCCGAGGTGCACAGGTCTCCGTGGAAAGCAAACAGGCCCGGAGTCAGTGCTAAGGGCACAAAAGTCTCATCGATCTCCAGTTTGCCTATGCACGGCCTCCTGAAGGCGTAGGAGCTGCTGCAGCAGCGGCAAACTCCGGGGTTTATGGGATCAGCCAGGTGTCTCCTACAGATTTGCTCGAGCACCAGATCCAGCTTTACCAAGAGAATGAAAAAAACAATGTTACGTTACTTTTTCCTTTTCAAAAATCCCTGAAATGCACATTGCTCACAGTGAAGTTAGGAAAAGAGGAGTTTAAATTAAACCTGATTTGTAGGATAGAGAACACCTGGTATTTGCTGACTTCTGTCAGTGCAGAACCAGCTGGGATTTTTGCAAATTAACATTTATATGGGACTGGCAGCAGAATTTCTGGCAAGAGTTTCAACAAAAAGTAGGACCCAGATACCGAAGGGAAGTACTCACATGTTCCTCGGCACAAGGCAGCAGCTTGTCCTGGCCTAGCTGGCAGCATTTGAAGCCGATGGTTGTCATTTCCTTGGTGAATTTGATCAGCTCCGCTGATGTCAGCTGAGGCATCTTCTTGGTGAAACTCACGAGGAGCCTGAAATGACAGATTTTGTGATACTGGTGTTTTTGTTTTACCAGGCAGAGTGAGCAGCCTCTGCCTTCCCTGTGGAATGCTCCAGGCAAGCCCCATGAAACACTCCTTGAAACTCCATGAAACACGGACAGGAGTGAGCCTGGTGTTTCTAATTCCAGGTAGGCAGGTGTAAGACTGCCCTGTTTGTGTGAAGCCGCATATTCCAACAGTGCCTTTAGCCTGGCCTGTGTGACCCGTGTGGCGTTACCCCAGCCCGGATTGTGCCCAGTGGGAGCAGGGTAAGGAAGCACAGGAAAAAGCAATACTCGTTTTGGAAATAGTAATCTCCTTTCTCCTTGTAAATGTCACAGCTTGTCCTCATGACACTCTCCGTTTCATAAATATGTTTCCTCAATTCTTCCTCCTGAAAAAAATAAGTGAATTTGAGGAGGGAGAATGCAGAATGTCCAGCTGCCTCTCACCTGATAGGGACCCCCTGATTTTAATGCCATTTCTGTCTGAAACCTCTGTAAACTGCCTGAATGTGGTAAAATGTCCGCCTCCGTTCCCCATGACCTATTGAATGTTGTGTGACTGCAGGAAGGCTGGGTCTGAGACACGGGGCAGCTCCTGACTTCAGGTATTACAAGGCCACTGTCCTGATCTCAGACAATAACCATAAGCAGCACCTTTATGTTTGGGAGAGGGAACAGGCACCACTCGGGAGCAGGGCCCACACAAGTGTTAGCTCCATCCGTTTCCCCCCATCTCCATCTGTCCATGTTAAATTGCACAGGCTCTGTGATGCTTTTTCCAGTTGGGAATCGGGCTTTGCAGGATTTGCTGGGATTGTTACAGGAGCTGTGACTCTGGAGCTGGAGCAAGGATATTGGCACTTTAGTCATGGTGTGACGTGCCTGACCCCCTCCATGTGCTGTGAGGAGCCCGAGGACCCACCAGCACCCACCCCTCTGCTGTGGCAGCCACTGGGAGCCCCGGGCCTGCAGCACTCCCGCAGCAGATCCTCGTAGCCTTTGCCAATCCTTAAAAGCATCTGGGCAGAAAATTCCGGGTGTCTCCTGGAGTATTCATACAGAAACCTGCAATATGAGGAAGATCAGGAATTAGGGAGAAGCCAAAACAACTGCCCTTGTGGGGGAAGGACAGCAGGAGGATTTCGGGGTGGGTTTGTCCGGTGGAACAGGGAGAAGTGTGCAGAGGAAGCCCTGTGTTACTTGGCTAAGTGCATGTCTTTTTCCTGGGCAAAACGTTCACATATTCCTTTGTCTTCAATGAACTCCCTGACGAGGGGGGACAAGCCTGCAGGTTTGTCATCGTTTTGCATGTTGAGGATGCACTCGCTCCTTTGTAACAGAGGCTTTTCACAGCACTGCTGGATCCGGCTGGACAGGACGTGCTGGCCGCTGCACACGTAGCGCAGGATCTCTTCCTGTAAACAAGAAAAGGAAGCTGAAAATCTGAACCCGGTAGCAAAGAAAGCGTGAAATGTCTGCACCACACGACTGAAAGGGCTTTACCCTGTCCCGCATGCAGTCCAGCGTGTCCCCACGGCAGCAGTCCTTGTGCATGTCGGCCACGGCCACCACCAGTTTGTGAACAGTGACAAAGTCAGCTTGGGGGAATTTTTGGCTTATCTGGACAAGCTTCCTACAAGGAAGGAAAATAGTTACTGTTTATATTCAGAGTGGGAGACTGTGCTAGCTATCATCATTTTTGTGTGGGGAGGTTGTCTAACTTTGATCACGGAGAGGTGTGGTTGGTTCAGACTTTGGGATTAGATTTTAGAATCTCATGGCAGTTTGTAAGGAAATGCTGATGCTGCCACACAGAAATCTAAATTTCTGTCTTCCTTGTTAGATGCTGCTGGTGACCTGCACATAAACAGGAGAGGGCTGGAACTCAGAGTCACTGTGGAGCCACAGCGAAATAATAATACACATGGGGAAGACTCACAGAGCCTTTAAGGTCCTTTCTCCAAATTTCTTCAGGATTCCACAAGTGTGTTCCTGCCTCAGGGCATCTTCTCTTACTGGCTTCATCACCTTTGGTGCCTAGCAGAAAGCAGGTGCAGGCACAAAATTGTAAGAAACTGAAACTGCAGTGGTGACAGTTTTTAATTTTTAAAATGTTTTTAATAGAGAAAACAAGCTGAGAGCTGTACAAGTTGCAAGATGTAACTGTTGCACTTGGTGTTTCATCGCCAGCATATATTAAGTGCTCTGTGAAAAGAAAGCAGAACCCTTCAGATTATAGTTGAGTGCTTTTAGCACTGGGGAGCTCCAGGGCAGCCTGATTTCAGCTTGTGCTTAACAAGGGGAATTCCAGTATCAGGTTCAGATGTTGAAACTGAAATGCTGATATATCTGCCTCAGTATCTGTGTGGCTGTAGCAAAGCTGCACATTAATAACCTCAAATCCTGTGGTGGAATACCTGTCTCTGGAAGCATTCCTCTATGTGATGGGAGCGGCCTTCAGCATTTCCACAGCATTTCTGCATCATCTCCTCATACCGCAGAGCCACAGACAGGATTGTTGGGGCGTAGAGGAAGGGATGCCTTCTGGAAACTTCGTAGATAAAACTGAAACCAGAGAAAAACATCTTTAGTCTCAGGGTAAGTTGATAGCATAATTATCAAAGTAATACAATTATAAAAGCTACTAAAGTTATTGCTTTCCTGACATAACAAACAGCTGCACTGTGTGGTGTTTATCTTGGAAAATTTTGGTGGGGCCAAGGTTTTCCTGGAAATTGAAGTCTCAAATCCTGCCAGTTCTGTCTTAGACGCAGCACAACTCCTGCTTGGCTTTTAAGGACTGAAGGGAGGCCCTTGATTTCAGGTGAGTCCTTTATATAGAATACAATAAACCAGGCCAGACTGATTGTCACTGGGAGCTACAGTCAAAGCAGGAGGTGGCAGAACAAGCTTTATAGAAAAGCAATTACAGCTGGTTGAATTATGCAAATAAATCACACTATGAAGAAAAATCGGTATGAGAGAGGCTGAATTTCCTGGTTGCTGCTGCATTTGCTGTCTCCAGCCCATAGCTACCACATCCAGGCAGCCAATCTATGATTTATTACTTACTATCCTGTTAATGGCTGTCCGTGCTGTGAATGGTTTCTGCAGGCAGCTTCAGCATCTGGCCTCTCCAAAGGAGAGCTGAACCCTTGTGAGGAGTTTTTCAGGGAGAGGAAGCAGTCATTTCTTTCAGGATCCCTTTTAGCACAGCACTCAGCAGGCCGGGGAAGGTTTTCCTCCTGGCATATGGTATCAAGGAAAATCTTGTCCTGTGTAAAATTAGAAGTTCGCCTTTACAAAGGGGAGAAGGACAGTCCATGGGCCAAATGTGCATGTGCGAGGAGGTCACGTCTCTCAGTAATGGTTTCGTGCCTCTGGAAGAACTCATGCCAGGGCTCTGGAATTACAAGCCATACCTGGAAAGCATAACTGAGCTTACCAGAGGCTTCAGGCAGTCGGGGCTGTCGCTGGCCGCTGCCGCACACCTTCTGGCCAGGGCCGTGACTCCCTCGGCCATTGCGGCTGCTCTGCTGAACGTCCCTCCTGGCACGTACTGGGCAAACAGGATCAGGGCACTGTGGGGGGAACACGCAGCGTTAAACTGTTCTGGCCACCTACAGACTGCTTACAGAGCTCTCGGGTGAGAGGCAGTGAGAGGATTGGTACCACCCTGGGCCAGCGGGGGTAAGGGGCTGGGTTAGGGCTCATTCCCAGTGACACGAGGCTGTGCAGTAGCAGCAAATTCACTTTACCTGCACAACTTACATGACTTTGAAATTGTTCTCCTGCAGCTGAGAGAATCGCTGGCCAATGCTTGTTTTTTCCTCTGAAAAACAAGATCATTTAAATAAGAGGTTTTTACTAAATGCTATATCAAATACCTTTTTTTTGTAGCTCAAGTGTTGCTAGGAAGGAAAATTTCCCTCCAGTACCTTTCCTCTCAAGTTCCCCTTGTATGCACTTCCTCTCAGTAATCCCTTCCCCTCCCGCACACTACGGAGATTCTCAAGGACTTAGGGAGCCATACACCTGGGGCTGATCATACCACATTTGTCCAGGTGCACTTTTGCTGTACACCTTTGTCCCATAAGAAAATCCCCCCCAAAACTGTGGCCAAGCGAACCACCAGATAAGCACATGTGCTGAGTCCAGCCAGCAGTGTTAAACAAAAAATAGAGGAAAAATGCAAGATGTCCTTACCTAGGTCCTGAGAAGTTCTAGGCAGGGCTCTGGCTACTCTAAGGCTCACCAATAAAACAACATAAATGACTGTTCTCCAGTCCATCCTGTCAGATTTTGGCAGGGGCCTGGGGTGAGTTTTCTTCATCTGAGAAAGGCAGAAAGAATTAAGGGGAGGGTGATACTTTTATACTCTCCCAGATGATACCTGGTTAATCAAAACCCTTTTACTGTCACATTTCACATTAGTCCTTTGACAATACTCCCACAATAATTAGACATGCAATTATTTGCTCAGGATAATGATCGGACCACTGCTGCAGAGGAAGGACCTTGGAGATATTTCTTCCCCTGAAATTAAGACAAATAGACATTTTCTACTTATCACACCTCACACAAGAAGTTAAACACTCTGGGCTTTTTATTGTGCACACTGATCTCTACTTACAGCTTGCTTAAAAGTGATTGCTGTGCAGAAAATTACTTTGGAACACATTAGTGACTGGAAAAATCCCAAGTTCAGCTATTATATTTCTGCATTCCCTCCTTGCTGTACAAGCTCTCTCCTGCTCCCAGCTGCCAAGGAGTCATGGAGAAAGGCTGACTGATGTACCCCCACACAGAATATTTTTGCAGCACCGATAATTACTACCAAAATGTCTACGAAACTTGGAAAAAATCAACTCCAAAGCTGTAGGATAAAGGGGGAAAGTCTGGTTAATACAGGTACTGATTTTTTTAAGAAAAAGTATGCTGTAAGCATCAGCAAGATGAAAAGACAAATTTTCGGAGATAGAACAGCTTTGGAGAGCTGCAGTTATTGGTAACACAGAGGTAGGGGGGCAAGGACAGTATTTCCACATATGTGATCATCCCAGAATCCCAGACTGGTTTAGGTTGGAAGGGACCAGGTTGCTCCACGCCCCATCCAACCTGGCCTTGGACATTCCCAGGGATGGAGCACCCATTTAAATCTTCTAAATTCAATGTCTCCAACATCCCTTTCCATGCTCAGAGGGTGGGTAACTGCTTTTCACTTTCCTTGGAAAACCTTTGCCAATCCTGGGATGGTAATTGGGCTGTGTACAGTGAGCACTCCTTCGCAGAAGGGAAACATGTGGAGTGCTTAACTGGAGAGGAGTATGGCGAGGATCACTTCCAGGAGAGGCCCTTCCACTTAGCGCCTTCAGTGCAACAAATGTCATTCTGGAGGCTCTGGAACCAAGTAGTTATTATCCCTAAGAGGGAGGAAGGAATTAAGGATTGATCCTGGGGGGGTTCTCGGTGTTGGGAGGGGGATCTGCAGCCCAATTTTAGGTGTGAAAGCTTTAAAGCAGTGCTGGTTGTCGGGGCTGCAGCCCCACGTGTTTGTTACCAACACAACACGCCCTTTGCTGGGGAGCAAAGCCTGGATGCCAACTGATTGTGGGAGCATAAAATGAACCCACAGCATCTGGCACAGAAGTAAGAAATTCCTCAGGTTGAAACCTTTCTCCCCCACCCCACCCTCCCCTTCACCTCCTAAGCAGAACAGCCCTGCTTTTATCTGGGTTCCAAATCCCTCCGTGGGCCGACTGCAGCTCAAGTGGACACGGCAAAGTACAAAGGGTGACATTTCCAGCCTGTCCTTGGCCTGTGTGGCCCCGGGGTGGGCCGGTGTGGCCGGAGGAGCCGGGCCGGGTGTCCAAACAAGTTATCTCAGCCCGGCCCCGGCCCCGTTATCTCAGCACGGACTCGGCCGGGCTGCAGGGACCTGCTGGCTCAGCACGGGCGGGCGAGGCAGGGACCGGCTCTGCCTGCCCCAGGGAGCGGGGCTGCAGGAAGGAGCAGGGAATCCATCGGGCAGCCCTGAAGCGGTTAAAGAACACTCTGTACCTGTGCAGGTTTGGGTACAGCTGCAGGTGTGCTTAGTCCTCCTCCTCCTCAACTCTGACTCTACAGGGGAAAAAGGAAAGTCACTCCATTAGAAACCAACCCAGATGGACAAAAAATATCAGCCCAAAAGAGAGCCTGGGAATACGAGCACTGTTGCTCAGCATGGGCCCAAAAGCTCTTGAGTAGTAATTTTCCAAACCACGTCAACACTGAGGCCTAAGATGCTACTGCAAGTGCTGCAGCTTGGCTGCAGAGCTCTGTCTTTACGGCAGCTGGAAGATACTGTGACACACGAGGGGAATAGCTGAGTTCCTACGGAGTGTAGAAATGGGGGTGGGATCCAGGGAAATCAATTTTCTAGACACCTGTAGCCCGGACTATCGGATGGAATTTCACAGCTGATGGACCGAGGACGCTGCCTGGAGAATTCTGCCCAGTAGTGCAAGAGGTGCAGGTACCAACGGTTCCCCCAGTAAATTCCCCCGAATTGCAGGCTGAGAGTGTCCTGAGGGCAATTCCTGCCGAAATCCCACCGAAACTGCAGGCACAGTGCCTACAAACATCTCCCCCTCGCAAAGCCAGGAACTGCGGCCACAGCGCGTCTTGAGGGAGTTCCCTGCAGAACCGTTTGGAATTCGACAGGTGACGCCCTGGGGTCGCGCTCTGAGCTCTCTTTCCCTACGCTGTCCCGCCCTTGTTTCGCCGGGCGGTGCTGCGGGGGGCGCTCGTTCCTGCAGTTCCTGTTCGGTTTCGCCAGACGGCGCCACTGAGCGCGGCCGTTCCCGCAGCCCCGCCCCGCGGCCGCAGGTGCCGCGCAGGGCCCGCCCCGGCCCGGCCCCGCCCCGCGGCCCTTTTCCCGAGCGCCAGTGGGGCCCCGGCGGGAGCTTTGGTGTGCCGGGTCCGGGAGGAGCAGGTGAGTGCCGGGGCTGTGCGGAGAGGGGCCGAGCTGCCGGCTGCGGGTGCCGCGAGCCCGGGTGTCGGTGCCCGGCAGGGCCGCGTGTGCGGCGAGACCTTCGGGCCCCCGCGGGACGGAGGGCGCGGAGCTCGGCTCGGGCCGTCCCGGCTGCGGCCGCGGCCCCGTCCGGGGGGGCTGGAGCGGCCGCCCCTGGGCCGTGCCGGGAGCTCGGCTGCCCCCGGGCCGGGGCCTCTCCCGGAGGGACGCGCGGCGCGGCGGGGAACGCGCCCGGCCCTCGGTGTCGCGTACGCGAGTGTTTTCCCACCGTCTTTGCACAGGTTGAGCTCCGCGGGAACTGCCCGGGGCTGCCGGCCAGAGCCCCCGAGGATGGGGCTCCCCCGAGCACGGGGCAACCGCAGCCACCTGCGGGTCAGCCAGCGGAAAGGTTTCCCGGTTGTTGCAGTCTCCAAACTCGCCGTGCCTCGTTCCCGGCAGCCCTGCCCGGGCCAGCCCGGCTCAGCACAGCAGCGGGAGAGGACGAGGCCCGGCCAGGACACAGCAGAGCCCCGGGAGAGGTGACACGGGAGGGAATGTCGGGTGAGTGCTTTGACACGGGCTGGGGGGTCTGTGCTGGGGGGCTGTGGCAGGATTGGACCCCTCGTGGCTTTGCTGCAGCTGCATTTGCTGTTTGGTGCTGGCCCGGCCCAGCTGTGTGTGTTTGCTGTGGCGGGTTGAGGCTCAGCTCGTGTTCAGCTCCAGGGCTTGCTCAGACACGTTTCTCAGGGGACACAGCACAGCCTGGGGCTCCCCCAGTCCTGCCGGGGGGACGGGCACGTCCTGCGGGTTCTGGGGCTGTGCCAGCCCCGGCAGCTCTGACTGAGCATTGCCTCCCTTTCCGCAGATCCACAGGAGATGCCGCCGCTCCCACCTGCCCTGGGAGATCTGGGGGGGCCCCTCCTGCCACCTGCTCTTGGAACGGCTCCGGGAGAGACCTCCACGCAGAGAGGGGCACGTGCTGTGACCTGAATCCCTGAGGGAAGAGGCTGTGCTCCCTGCTGCTCCCAGCTCCTGAACAGGGACAGCCCTGCCTGCGCCTGCCGGGAGTCCAGAGCGCAGCAATCGCAGCTCCAGCCACCAGATCTCCCTGCCAGCAGTCCCTCCTTCCTGCTGCAGCTGCAGGTAAGCTCAGCTCTCCCTCACAGGCCTGTTCCAGCTCCAGCTCACGGACACTCCAGCCACGCAGCTGTTCCAGCCACCGGCCAATCTGGACAGGAGTGTTCCTGCTTCGTACAGCTCCTGCTGCTGGACCCTCCCCTGTCCTACTGCTCGGGATGCTTGGAGACTCAGGTGATTGCAATTCCTTCTGTTGTTTCACTTTCAGGTGATGCCCCAGTCAGCTTCTTCAGGCTCCAGCTGTGGCTGTGCAGTGCTCCAGGTGCTTCCAGGCTGCTCCAGTTTGTTCCAGCTATGGCTCTGAGATGCTCCAGTTTGTTCCAGCTCTGCCTCCGAGACGCTCCAGTTCATTCCAGCTCTAGGTCCTAGGTGCTCCAGTTGATGGCTGCTCCAGTTGGTTCCAGCTCTGGCTCTGAGATGCTCCAGTTGGTTCCAGCTCTGGCTCCAAGATGCTCCAGTTGGTTCCAGCTCTGGCTCCGAGATGCTCCAGTGGATTCCAGCTCTGGCTCAGAGATGCTCCAGTGGATTCCAGCTCTGGCTTATTAAATGTTGCTTCTTGTTGCAAGCCAGTTAAAGCTCCAGGTGCTTGGAGCGATTTGGGCTTCTGGCCAAGTTGTAAATCACTCACTGTCATCGAGTGTATATGAATATGAGCTGTCATAATTGTCTCAATATTGTAGCTATTCCGGTGTTTGTACAAATAAAGAGTTGGACTGGAAAAAGGGCTGGAAAGTGCCTTTCGCTCCAGAGACTATCTCGAACGCTTAAATCGGCCTGGTGCATGCCGGCGTCCCGGAGTTTGGGGAACAACGCGGCCGGACCCCCTCCGGAGGGGTCCACGCAACCCCGGACCCCCTCCCTGGGAGGGGTCCTCATGCCCAGCCCTCCCCCTCCCGGAACCCCCTCCTCCGGAGGGGTCCTTATGCTCACCCAGCCCTCCCACCAAAGTCAGCCCAGCCCCGGCCTCTGTTTTGGGGGCTGGAAACAACCGGCTGAGCCGCTGCTTCCAGCCTCAAAACAAGGCCCTGAGGGACTTTTCTGAGGCCCAGAAAGGCAACCCTGAGGCTAAATCCTCAAATTTCCAAGTTGGAAAAGTGCTGGACTTAGTTTTTTTCTGAGCTTCAGAAAAGCCTTGCCCACCCTCTGCTTTGGAGCCCCAGAAG